GCAGAATCGTGATTCCTGCACTAAAGGGAGCAAGCAATTGACACAGACTGTAGCACTTCTTTAACATGACGACACCACCAAAGACAGATCCATCCAGGCGTTAAGTTATGGCAAAGCAAGTTTGCAACATCCAAGCATGGACCCGCGGACGCCAGGATATGCCCATCTAGGTGCCTAATGCACCAACTTTCCTTCTCATTTTTTTTACAAATGTTCCTTATTTTAGCCATAGCTTGTGCTCATCTGGGCTTCAGCCAATTCCAGAACTGTCTGGAAGCATTTGAACAAGCGATGAATGTGGCGAATGAGACTGGCGATAAGCTGCTCGAACTGCAGATTTGCGTTGGACTAGGCTCGTTGTTTATGTTATTAAGGTGAACATTTCTTTCCTCCAATTATTAAATTTGAGATATATCTTCACTTTCAAGAGATCTGTCAAAAGCGCTGATTTTTCTGCGGAATGCTATGGCAATAATTCAATCTGTCACAGTTGATGACGTCCATGCGAAGTATAGGTAAGCACCGTCGAGACTACATTTTCTTTCAGCTGGTTTTAGAAAGGTTGCGTTTTCTAAAATTTCATGTATCTTTAGATGTACAATCCTGTATCACCTCTCAGTGGCATTGCGGATGCGAGGATCACTGGTTGAGGCAAAGGAGGCTTGCGATGTTAGTGATTTTTAATTTGCGTCCGAATATGGACAGTAGTGGAGATAGCAAATAAAGGCTTCTTAAACATTCACTGAGCCAATTGATAATAAATCAAAGTCTGATGAAGCACTTTTTGTTGCATATTTGTAAAACGAAATTAGAACAGAAATAAATCCATTTTTACGTCTGTTCTACACTGTTTTTTAATCTTAATTTTGCTTACTACTTAGTCCATTATTAAACAAAGCAAGGTTACAATTGCGCTACAAATCTTATCCAATATACTCTAAATTTTTTATCCCATGAATTTTGCTCAATCAATCTCCAATCGTCAAACAAAATAAAACCAACGCTTGCGGTACAAATCTTAAATTGTCGATCCAAATTATTATAGCTGAAATCTTGATCTCTTTCGTATATCATAGTCTCTCGTCTCCAGTATAAAATGTTTAATTTCTATGCTGATCTTGCAAACTGCAGTAACCTCCAATACGAAATTTAGAGTGGACTGCCTCAGCTAGAATGTTTTTCTGAGAATACGATGAAATTGGAAGCTACAGGCTGTGATTTCTCTGGTTTAGAAAAGTAGGAAATCTAAAAAAGGAACATCCGAAGTAACATAATCCGTAATCGTTTACGTGCAAAAGTACAGCTGCAACTTTGAATTCTAACATACGTTAAAGGCAGTGTCCGGGGAAAAACTCGATTTTGAGATT